TAAGGTGAAGAGATTAGCCAAAGAACATCTATGCATAGCCCATGGTCACAGACATCAGTGTGGTGAAGGCCAGGGAAGGGAGGGGAGGGGGGCGGGGACTGGGTGGAGGTGGGTAAAGAGGGAGAAATGGGGGACATCTGTAATAGTGTCACCAATAAAAGACCCCACCTCCGTTGCTCCCCATGACCTGCCCCCCTTCCTATTACCTCTCTGCTTTCATGTCCTCCTACTTCTCCCTTCATTCTCCCTGTTTCCGTCACTCTGGCTTCTTCTCTTTGTTCAGATGCACCAGTCATGCTCCTGCTTCACAGCCTTTGCACTGACTATTCTTTCTGCATGGACTGTTCTTCCTTCAGGTATCTCTCAGGACTTACATTTTATCTCTATTAAAGCTTTGCCCAAAGTCATATTCTCACTGCATTCAAATTGTAATTTCCCCCTGCCATCCAATAATGTGCACCCAACCCTCTCTCCTCAAGAACCAGAAGAGTAGGAATCTTGTTTGTTTTGTTACCTGATGTGATGTATCATTAGGGTCTGAAACAGTGCCTCCCACGTAGTAGGTGCTCAATTAATATTTCAACGAATGATGAATGAATGAATGAATGAATGCTCTCTACATCACCTCACACACTCCTGTGGCTTCAACTACTAATTTTATGATGAACCCAAATCCATGCCTCCAGCTGAGGCTTCACTTCCAAGCCCCAGACCTATATGCATCTATCTGGGCACTGAACACCTCCACTTGGATAGTTCCCAGTCATCTCAAACTCAAAATATCCAAAATAGAATTATTTTCTTCCACCTCCCTCTTCATACCTCCTCCTCTTATGTTCACTATCTCAGTAAATGGTGTTGCCTCCACATAGTTGCAAGCCAGAAACCTGAGAGTTATCCTAGACTCCTTTCACTCACTTGCATCCAGTCCATCACCTACTCTGCCTGCTTCTCTCAGCTCATTTCATACCACGCCCCTTCACTGTCCTGCTTCCACGGACTTCCATGCTTTCCATACATGCTGCTCCCTCTATCTTACTATTTCTTCCCCCTCTCCACATTCCTCACTCAACCCCAGGTCCAACATTTATCCCAAGTATCACCCCCTTTTTTCCAGGGTTCCTTCCGTAGTGCCCAGTGCATACAGATCGCAGCACATTAATAATTCACCTACTTATCCATCTCTAACACTAGACTCTGAGGTCCTAAGGGCAGAGACTATGGCTGATTGCATCCTGGTGTCTAAAACAGTATCTGCCACATATTAGGTGTTTAAAACATGTTTGATAAACAAATGGATCTGAGTAAATCAAATAATATTCCTGAATTAAGTATAGTATTTTAATTTATGATAAAAATATATAGATTATCATTACAAAAATGATTCCAATTTTTCACAGTGTCTGGTTCATACTAAGTATTCAATATATATTTTGCTGAATGGATGAATGAATGAATGAATGAATGCAGAGGAAACAGTCCTGACAGTGGCAAGGAGATATGAAAGCAGCATGAGATCAGTCAGTGTGGGTCATTGCTAGGGTACTGGAGCTCACAATTAGCGGTGGGAATGTGACAGGATATGAGGCAAGAAGGAAGAATGGGCAGAGAGATAAGGGCCTTGACTTTGGGCCCTGCTCAGCAGGCAGTGGGGAGACTTTTATAGCATTAAGTCAGCAGAGTGATCAGATGTCTGGCTTAGAAAGAATGCTTCATGAGAAGAATGAAGGGTGAATTAGCAGCAGTCGGGTGGGGTCGAGTGGGTCAAGGAGAAGATTAAACTTTGGAAAATCAAGTAGAAGGCAGCTTCCATAGTTTCAGGGTCTAAACCATGAAGCTCTAGCTTGCTAATGGTAGGAGACTTTCTCCCAAAAGGCTAAATTATGAAAGACAAGGCTCCCAGAGTTCCAACACTGTCGTGGTTGACCAGCTCATATGTATAACTTGGGTTAAGAATTGCCTTTGTCTTCTGTTGTAGTTCATCACCAGTTTGATGAGGGACCGGCCATGAGCTCTAAAAAAACCCATTGAAACACATATAGTATCCACACTTCTAATTAAGTTACAGATGTTCTTTTAAAAGTTCCAGGAATACAGCAAAGAACACGGGCTACTTGCCCGTCATTTCTCTGACCCAGAAATCAAGAATTGCATAATGGGAAGAACTAGGGTCACTTTAGGCAACCACCTGTATTTATTTATTTATTTATTTATTTATTAAATATATATTGATTTCAGAGAGAGGAAAGGAGAGGGAGGAAGAGAGATAGAAACATCAATGATGAGAAAATCATTGATTGAGTCCGCAACCCGGGCATGTGCCCTGACCAGGAATCGAACCCCAATCGCCTGGATCCTAGGTCAACACTCAACCGCTGAGCCAGGCCTGGCCGGGCAACCACCTGTATTTATAAGATACAAGGACGCTTCTTCTTTCTCTGCTTGAGCACAGGTCAAAGTTTGATCCAGTTGTGAAAGTTGGTTTGAACAGCAAAAGATCCAGGAAATAAGATAGAGTGTTTTGTGATGCCCCAAAACAGTGTGCCAAGGGGACTTGGCTTGTTGTTAAGGCTGTGCTATCAAGCCTGCCAACTGAACTGACATGATCACTGGGACTGGTTGGTCCATGGGTCACAGACTTATGAGTCCCAGAAACCCTTCTCTCAGACTGGTATTTCCTATGGGACTATAAAACAAATGGGCATTGTTTGTATGTGTGCTACACTTTTAAAATTAGCTTTGGGAAAGCTGGCAATTGGCTAGAAACCCTGTTACCAGGAATCATAACTGCCTCGTTCAATAATGATCCTGGGTTGAGGAAAGTATATTTGTGTTTTGAAGTAAATTATTTAAAATTCTCATACTGTATGAGACTATGAAAACAAATTACTTAATTTTAATCATTTTAGGTAAAAACAATAATTTGAGATGCTCCAGTGTTTGCTTTGTGTGTGTGTGTGTGTGTGTGTGTGTATGTTCCACAATATTTTCCCAACCTCCCTCGCACCGAAACTAATGAACCTATAGAGAAGTCATCTGTCCTGGTGCTGCTCTGCCAAGTCTATGAACATTAAGTCCCATGATTCAAAGCACTCAGTGAGGGACATGAGAAAGTGTCTTTATTATTTACACCCCGCTGGTGATTGACGTCTACTCGAGACTTGAAGTTATGCCCCAGATTTCAGAGGAATCCCCATTCCATGGGAACCATCTTGTTTTGAACTTGTCATCTGCCAAGTTAACATTCTATGCTGTAAAAACTTCCTCCAGGGTTAGACTGCCTGCATTCAGATCCCAGTTCTACCACTTACAAGTTTATCTTTCTTCAGATTTAGTTTTGTTTTTTTTTTAACTTAGGATGGCAGCAAATAGCAATTTTTTAAAACAAACATTTTTTATTCCCCTGGAAAGGGGTAGTGCTCCCTGTGACGTCCTGGACTTTGCAGCTGCTATTCCATTTGCCTGAGGCCCTCTTTTATGCCTAGCTCACTCTTCAGATTTCAGTTTGGACTTCCTTTCCTCCGGGAAGCTTCTTTTGGCCCTCCAAGTCTGAGAGTCCGTTCTTTATGTTCCCACTGCAGCGCTTACCCAGTCCAACCATTGCCACCCTGTTTCCATCTCTGTCTCTCTAGGGAGACTGTAAGCTGAGAGCCCAACTAGGTTTTGGATCTCAAGCATCTAATAGTAGCACATAGTGGGTGCTCGAGTATTTGTGAAGCGAATAAATGGATAGATTCATGAATGGTCATCCAGTGAGAAAAAGTCAGTAGAAATAAGAGTCAAGGATATTCTCCTAGGGATCCTGGCTCCCAAGGCGATTGACAGCAGTCATGGGGCACGCAGGGGGTGGTCTCCCTTCATGGGCAAAAGGGAGGAGTTCCCACCGCCCCAAGACTCTGGAGTTTCCTTTCTAGCCCTTGCCTTCTATAAGGAGACCCCCAAACACAGACAAAGCCGCCAAGCGACAGCAGTGCCAGCCCCCCTTTGGGTCGCGTGCGCGCCCTGTGGGTCTCCGCTGGGCGCACAGAAGGTGCGCGTGGCGAACGCCCAAATTTCTTGGCGGTCAACAGCATCCCACAGTCTGGAGCCGAGGGGAGACCGTCGGTGTAGGGGAGAAGCCCGTGGGGCAGTGACAGCCTCCGTTACTCCCCCAGCTCTCACTTCCATCACCTCCCTGCCGCTGCGCCCCCTTCCTGGGACGTGCCCTGGGCCC